GGCGTATGTCCTTCTTAGCCACTTTGTCTGGCCCCCGCAGCAGTGTGCGTTTTCAGGCGTCGGTATCTTTTTTCTACCGTCCCGAGCTGTATCGGGTTAATATCGACGACGCCCACCCTTGTAGCTACGGTCTCTTCCCAATCAGGTGGGAAGAATGTGGTTTCTTCAACGCCCCAGAGTCCGTTATATAGGTCTCTTACCTGATCACCCGGAGGTAGTTCAGGTTGGCGGCGTTGTTCGATATCTGAGACGCCGATCCTCCACTACTAGCGTAGCTAGTTGTTTCGGTTCTTTCTCCCAGAGTTGTTGTACCGTAGCATACTCGTGGTTGGCGTCTTTTGTCTCTACTTCCCCTAGCTCTGTGGTTAGCGTTTGCGGCCTTACCTCTCTGGCCGTTTCGGGGCAGATTGGGTTTGCCTCCCGCTAACTCGACGGTGAGTTCGTTGACGACGTTTTCGAGTTGTTTTACGAGTGGGTCAGATACGCTGGTGACATCTTCAGCAGATCGAAGGCTCCCCGCAATTGCAGTTAACCTGACTGCCAAAGGCTGTATTTTAGCGTCCTTCGCCATCTCGTCATGGTGTTGGCAAGTGTTCTGATCGCCGAAGCTATCATACACTGCCTCCATCTCTTCTCTTCGTCGTCATACGATTTCTGTACTTTCACCTGAGGCTTCAAGATCTTATTTATTGGCGATTCTTTTGCAGCTTTGTTGTCTGATTCCCAAGTGAGGCGGGGTACTGCTCTGTCACTCGTTTCGAGACGCTGGCCCGTTCGCGGTTCAATCAGGCCGAGCAGACGACGCTTGTCGCTGATCTGCCTTTGTGTTTTCCCGGAACTGCGACATCAAGAGCTTGTTAATGTGTCTTTGTCCCGCATACTCTTGGTTTAGTTGCGCAGTTTCTGCTCCTCTTCCTCTGACCAAATCTTTGACCTGACGCCAGCATTCGTCTCCTGGGAGCGGCTGCGTCAGCTAACCGCTTCTGGTTTCTGATTGCTGGGTGAGCATGCCGTCATGCATCGATAGGCCAACTTGGTAGGGAATGATGAGGAGCAGGCTTCGCACGTATAACCAGTTTCTGCGGGACGACCTAGTGGTCGGCATGATCGAATATGGTTCGAAATTCCCGATGTGGTCGTGCTCTTTCTGTCACAGTGCGGACATTCCCAGTACGTTGTTACTTCTGGGTGCGTCTCTGTTACGTGCGTTTTAGCGTCTTTCGCGCTTAGGAAGGACTGCATAACCCTCCCTGCGCGAGCGCATAGCGAGCAATTGTACCTCTCCGCAGGGTGCTTAAATGTGATAGTAGTTAGTGCGGCCTCGCATGGGTCTCCGGAGCCCGAGTCGGTGGGAGACTCAGAGTTTCCAGGAGAACTGCGTTCCGGCCCCTCGGTGGTCTGCCTGACTGTCTCAACTCCACTAGCAATTGTACGTGAAGTCGAGCACTGATAGCGAGAATCTGAACCCACTTCGAGAGCTTCACCAATCATTGTTGAATCGTCTCCAAATACGTTTCGAGCTTCGTCGCTTTCTGCACTCCAACTCGCTCCGTACGCGCTGCTGCCACCACCAATCCGAACGGCAGTTTTTTGGTCAGGTGGTAATCCCGTACAGCGCTTATCCATTGCATATTTCGTTTTCCCGAGACAATCATCCACTCACAGGGTCGGGACGCCCCGCGAGGCTTTCAGGTCGCGCTCTACTGACCTGCCCTTTGAGGACCTTTGACATGGGTGCGCTGGTGTGGTGTGTTCTAGTCCTCAGCGTCTTATGATATAGCAAGTAGCTACCGACGTGCGGGTAGTACCAGCGCCACCCAGCTGCTATTTCAAATCTTGTCCTAATCGCGATCCTTAGGGGATGCGATATCGTCGGACGGCGGATACAGACCGGTAAGGTGTATTCCGCTCGTTCAAATTTTGGTAAAGTTACCGGTCTTCTGGTAGCGAACCCTTTATAGAGCAACCGCACTTGCCCATATTGGTCGGTCCGGTTCGCTTGCAGACACTGTTTCCCAGATCTTACCGACCAAGAGTCTGGTGGTCCGCGGTCTAGTGAGCTGTCGAGGCATCCTCCTTCCAGGTTTATTACCTGGATGTATAGGATTCAACCTGCAGCAGACCTGTGCGGGTTGTTGTTCAATTCAAGGCCCCCCCTATACTGAGTGTTCTTAGTATTTAAGGGAAGCCTTCTTCCTTGTCTGAAATTTTTGCAGCCAAAAAGGCCCCTGGACACTACTAGAGTGACCAAGAGGTCCATATTTTGGTGTTATTTCCGACAAGTGTGGTTTGCCTTCTTTATCTTGTGGGATCCTCTAGGAGAGGTAAACCAATAAGGCCGGTATTCTTAGGGACCCAGTCGACTCAACTTGTTCTTTGTCCTCTCCTAGGCGGAGGTGACGAACACGTTTTGTCGTTTTAATCCGGTTTACCCTTGATACCTGGACCCTCTATGGTTGTTTGGTATTGTGCTTTACATCCATATTTGTTTGAAGCCTTTTAGCTGGTCAAACGAGTTCGTTTGTTCTTAGACGATACATCGCTTGTTGGTATCTCACCGACGATTTACCGTAGCAAGTTGGATACGAGTCAATCAGAGCCGACACTGATATCTCGCCCTGCTCGATAAATCTCCCCATGTTAGCAACTTTGGTTTTCTCTAGCTAATGAGACCAGAGCATACTCAAAGAGGCTTCTGAGGATCTGGCCTTTGCGCAAGGATCCCATTCGCATCTCTCTTGCTCTGATCGAAAAACGATAGTTCTACGTTTCGGTTATAAGACAACAACTGTCGTCGTCGTCGTATTCTCACTCGGAAT